TGACGCGGACGCCTTCCGTGGTCACAAGCCAACTGCCCCACCAAGGGGGGAGGATACACCTTTCAAACAAAAAATAAACAAGAAAAAAGTACCCGGCATAAAGGCTGTGAGCGCTGATTATCAAAGTGATGGAACGAGATAAAAAAAAAAAGACAATGGGCGTCCTTCCTACGGACCTGGCGCATGGGGCTAAGGCGCTAGAAGGCGGTTGAAAGGCACCTCCCCGGCGTCAGGCGTTGCGCCCCACATCGAAAGAAAGTACGCCCCATCTTGTGCCCAAACACGAGGGGCATACCCCATTTTGTCAATTGCCCTTCAAAGAAAAAAAATGGTGCTCTGTCTCACTGAGGTTGCCTTGCCCCTCGCCCGTGTCCTCCGCGCGTGTTTGCCCGACCCGCACGCCAGGTGCTCGAGCATGCCAACGCAGGCTGTCTCTTGATCACGGTACGTCGAAGGTGCCTGATGGATGCAATCAGCAGCAGTGCAGTTAGCGCCCGCACGCACCGGAACTTGGGCAGTTACTTGGCAGCTATGTGAAGGAATCGATGTAGCGTGGAAAAACTCAAAGCCTACGAACTCGAGTACAAACTGTGAGCTCGGTTAAGAACCCTGTCACAAAACCTATTTAGCGGCCATTGGTAGCATAAGGGCCGTCTTAAACAGAAACTATTTCGCTCCCAAATTTGCAAATCTCCACATCCGTAGACCGTTGAACCTGGATTGCGGCCGAGGGAAACATTTGGAAACTACTGGCACCAACAAAAATTGGGAACCTGGAGAGCCGGAATATGGAAAGTTGGAAAAAGGAAGCAAAATCGCAGGGGATAAAACGGCCCTAACCTTAGAAACATCCCAGCCGCAGCCAGAAGTAGAGGTACTTAAGTAGGGTAAATAGTGGGATTACTGTGAAATCTTGAACGTGAGTACACGATCGCTCAAAACCATCATGGCCCCTCGAACCGTCAACAAAAATGTTCGACTGATGGCTTGCGTTTCATCAGTCATGAGGCGCGAAAAAAACACAAGAATGTCTATCCAAGGCGTAGCCGTACGTCTCCCATCGAAGCAATTGACTTGTCTCCCCCCCAAAAAACCAAAAAAAAATGCCTTTACAAATGCTTGTTTATTTGTATATTTCATGACTGAATCAGCCGAATTATTTTTCTTCCCACTTTTCATTAAACAAGTGTCTCGAAACAAACAAAATCGCGATTCTGTGAACCCGTCGCCTTTATTTTCTGAACACTCACCTTGGATGCGAGGACCCCTGTCTGAACCAGAAGCTGGAAATGCATCGAGAGTTGGTCAAGAACCCTCTCCCGCAGGCCAGGAGAAACAGCCGAGGTTCCGAGCTGGAGTCGAAAATGAAGGAGGGCGAGGATAGTGGTATATGTCTGGGCTGTTAGTTGCTTTTTGAGGTTGTTACATTATTTCTTTATGTTGTGGTCATAGCAGGTTTTAAAAGAGAAAAGGGTGGGGGGCTCACCAAGGGACAGAGCTCCGTAGCATGTCCGCGTCTTTAGAAATCAGAAAAAAAACTTCCAGTCCATTTACACGTGAGTTCTTGCTTTGTTTTGTGTGAGTTTTAGCCGAAAGTGTGGCGCCCGCCAGCCAAAGATGTAGCTCGCGCCGGCTCCCCAACGGATGAGAGCGCAGACGAATGGTATGCCGCTCTTGAGCTTTCATCTCGAGAGCAATTGATTCAGTCGTTACCATTCCGTCGTCAACTGCCATGGACGGACCCAAAGAAGACTTCATGAAAGTATTTGTCTCGGGTGTAACTGCGTGGCTTGATGCGAACTCGGTCCTTCATGAAGCTCGGCAAAACGAGAGGGGGGGCAGATATTACGTTTGCTTACATTCAGCATCATAATATCCATGCAAGGGGCACAGCAAGAGACGGGGAGATGGCACCCCCCCCCCCCCCCCCC